TTCAGGTGTATATCAGTATGTATTGTCTCTACTTTAAAGAGTCCTCTCCTGCTGATGTTCAGGTGTATATCAGTATGTATTGTCTCTACTTTAAAGAGTCCTCTCCTGCTGATGTTCAGGTGTATATCAGTATGTAGTGTCTCTACTTTAAAGAGTCCTCTCCTGCTGATGTTCAGGTGTATATCAGTATGTAGTGTCTCTACTTTAAAGAGTCCTCTCCTGCTGATGTTCAGGTGTATATCAGTATGTATTGTCTCTACTTTAAAGAGTCCTCTCCTGCTGATGTTCAGGTATATATCAGTGTGTAGTGTCTCTACTTTAAAGAGTCCTCTCCTGCTGATGTTCAGGTGTATATCAGTATGTATTGTCTCTACTTTAAAGAGTCCTCTCCTGCTGATGTTCAGGTGTATATCAGTATGTATTGTCTCTACTTTAAAGAGTCCTCTCCTGCTGATGTTCAGGTGTATATCAGTATGTATTGTCTCTACTTTAAAGAGTCCTCTCCTGCTGATGTTCAGGTGTATATCAGTATGTATTGTCTCTACTTTAAAGAGTCCTCTCCTGCTGATGTTCAGGTGTATATCAGTATGTAGTGTCTCTACTTTAAAGAGTCCTCTCCTGCTGATGTTCAGGTGTATATCAGTATGTAGTGTCTCTACTTTAAAGAGTCCTCTCCTGCTGATGTTCAGGTGTATATCAGTATGTAGTGTCTCTACTTTAAAGAGTCCTCTCCAGCTGATGTTCAGGTGTATATCAGTATGTAGTGTCTCTACTTTAAAGAGTCCTCTCCTGCTGATGTTCAGGTGTATATCAGTATGTAGTGTCTCTACTTTAAAGAGTCCTCTCCTGCTGATGTTCAGGTGTATATCAGTATGTAGTGTCTCTACTTTAAAGAGTCCTCTCCCCCTGATGTTCAGGTGTATATCAGTATGTAGTGTCTCTACTTTAAAGAGTCCTCTCCTGCTGATGTTCAGGTGTATATCAGTATGTATTGTCTCTACTTTAAAGAGTCCTCTCCTGCTGATGTTCAGGTATATATCAGTGTGTAGTGTCTCTACTTTAAAGAGTCCTCTCCTGCTGATGTTCAGGTGTATATCAGTATGTAGTGTCTCTACTTTAAAGAGTCCTCTCCTGCTGATGTTCAGGTGTATATCAGTATGTATTGTCTCTACTTTAAAGAGTCCTCTCCTGCTGATGTTCAGGTGTATATCAGTATGTAGTGTCTCTACTTTAAAGAGTCCTCTCCTGCTGATGATCAGGTGTATATCAGTATGTAGTGTCTCTACTTTAAAGAGTCCTCTCCTGCTGATGTTCAGGTGTATATCAGTATGTAGTGTCTCTACTTTAAAGAGTCCTCTCCTGCTGATGTTCAGGTATATATCAGTGTGTAGTGTCTCTACTTTAAAGAGTCCTCTCCTGCTGATGTCCAGGTGTATATCAGTATGTAGTGTCTCTACTTTAAAGAGTCCTCTCCTGCTGATGTTCAGGTGTATATCAGTATGTAGTGGCTCTACTTTAAAGAGTCCTCTCCTGCTGATGTTCAGGTGTATATCAGTATGTAGTGTCTCTACTTTAAAGAGTCATCTCCTGCTGATGTTCAGGTGTATATCAGTATGTAGTGTCTCTACTTTAAAGAGTCCTCTCCTGCTGATGTTCAGGTGTATATCAGTATGTAGTGTCTCTACTTTAAAGAGTCCTCTCCTGCTGATGTTCAGGTGTATATCAGTATGTATTGTCTCTACTTTAAAGAGTCCTCTCCTGCTGATGTTCAGGTATATATCAGTGTGTAGTGTCTCTACTTTAAAGAGTCCTCTCCTGCTGATGTTCAGGTGTATATCAGTATGTAGTGTCTCTACTTTAAAGAGTCCTCTCCTGCTGATGTTCAGGTGTATATCAGTATGTATTGTCTCTACTTTAAAGAGTCCTCTCCTGCTGATGTTCAGGTGTATATCAGTATGTAGTGTCTCTACTTTAAAGAGTCCTCTCCTGCTGATGATCAGGTGTATATCAGTATGTAGTGTCTCTACTTTAAAGAGTCCTCTCCTGCTGATGTTCAGGTGTATATCAGTATGTAGTGTCTCTACTTTAAAGAGTCCTCTCCTGCTGATGTTCAGGTATATATCAGTGTGTAGTGTCTCTACTTTAAAGAGTCCTCTCCTGCTGATGTCCAGGTGTATATCAGTATGTAGTGTCTCTACTTTAAAGAGTCCTCTCCTGCTGATGTTCAGGTGTATATCAGTATGTAGTGTCTCTACTTTAAAGAGTCCTCTCCTGCTGATGTTCAGGTATATATCAGTGTGTAGTGTCTCTACTTTAAAGAGTCCTCTCCTGCTGATGTCCAGGTGTATATCAGTATGTAGTGTCTCTACTTTAAAGAGTCCTCTCCTGCTGATGTTCAGGTGTATATCAGTATGTAGTGTCTCTACTTTAAAGAGTCCTCTCCTGCTGATGTTCAGGTGTATATCAGTATGTATGTCTCTACTTTAAAGAGTCCTCTCCTGCTGATGTTCAGGTGTATATCAGTATGTAGTGTCTCTACTTTAAAGAGTCCTTTCCTGCTGATGTTCAGGTGTATATCAGTATGTAGTGTCTCTACTTTAAAGAGTCCTCTCCTGCTGATGTTCAGGTGTATATCAGTATGTAGTGTCTCTACTTTAAAGAGTCCTCTCCTGCTGATGTTCAGGTGTATATCAGTATGTAGTGTCTCTACTTTAAAGAGTCCTCTCCTGCTGATGTTCAGGTGTATATCAGTATTTAGTGTCTCTACTTTAAAGAGTCCTCTCCTGCTGATGTTCAGGTGTATATCAGTATGTAGTGTCTCTACTTTAAAGAGTCCTCTCCTGCTGATGTTCAGGTGTATATCAGTATGTAGTGTCTCTACTTTAAAGAGTCCTCTCCTGCTGATGTTCAGGTGTATATCAGTATGTAGTGTCTCTACTTTAAAGAGTCCTCTCCTGCTGATGTTCAGGTGTATATCAGTATGTATTGTCTCTACTTTAAAGAGTCCTCTCCTGCTGATGTTCAGGTATATATCAGTATGTATTGTCTCTACTGGGACATGTCTCCATGCTTTAATGTTCAAAAAGCTCTTTATATTTCTCATAATGCCTGTGCTGCAGCACCTATGTTCACCCTCTGTCTGAAACCAGAGCCCAGTCTGCTCTGTGGAGTGTGTGGGAAATACACTTTGGGAATGTAGCCTTTGCAGACCATCAACATGCACAAAAACCTTTATAACACCCTACAGGAAAGTGAAAATCCCAGAAAGCACAAAAGGGCTAAAGCTATGTAGATAATGTTATATTTCTATATTTACAATCTGAAACGCTGCTGCTGTTTGTCTCTGAGCAGATGGGACGACTGCAGTGTCCTCTGCTGCTCGTTGTTGGTGAGGACGATCAGAACTGGCCCACCCACGAGTCTGCAATGGACGTGAGTTAATCAACATGACATGAAACACTGAAAACATGGATAACTACATGATACATGAACAACCCATCTTTGTATCCTAGTTGGCTTATTGAATAAAAACACCATATTTGTTTGCCATGTACATTTGATTAAATCTCATTCTGTTTTAAAACACATATATATATTAATGCTGTCAAAATGATCGCGTTAACGGCGGTAATTCATTTTTTGAATTAATTGCGTTAAAATATTTAACGCATTTAACACATGTGTAGAATGGCCCGCCCCATACATCCCACCAGTGGCAGCGCCAGGGTATGGCTGGGGTTACACCCATACCAAGAAATGGCTTAGCCCCACCATGAAAAATTATGTTAAAGGAAGCAAAATAAAGTCCGCCAACTCGCACGGAGTAAATTGCACAGACGTAGACATAGTAAGATTGATTTCAGTAGCCACTTGTCTGGAAATACCGAAGACCAGAAACGGTTTTGAAAACTTTTGTCACGTATTGATCGTCTTCTCACTAGAACATCTTTGATAATGTCTTCTGGCCAATCAGAATCAAGATAACGGCGTGGTGTTGTTGCAGGAAGTCCCGACGGAGAATACTTTTGCTGTAGTACAGGGGTGCACATAACTGGTACGCAGGTTATGTGCGTAATCTGAAATGCGTACCGTCACTTGTGTCACAAAGCGCATTTGCGTACGACAAAGTCGGTCTCCGTGTGCACAGACAGGGCTGCTGTTAACGTCGGTCTCTGTACAACGGAATTGTGCCAAAACTACTCCAACCGGCTGCGGAGGGAGACTCCCCCCCCCCCCTTCACTAGAGAACAGCGCTAAAACAGCTGATCACAACGTTCACATTCTGTGGTCACAAAGTACTCCACTAGCCCCCCCCGTCGACTTTCCTGAAGTACTCCCCCGTTGATATAAATCAACACGTAATGAATTACCCACGGTTTGATGATTGATAGGTGTGTGGGTTGTCTTTCATTTTGACACACAGAAAAATGTTATAATAAACATAGATACTGTTTGTGAAATGGATATATCCGTCTTCTTTCATTTATCTTTCCATTCCCACAACAATACATAAATAAATGGCATATTTTGGACATAGTTTGAATGGTGATTAATCATGATTAAATAATTTTTAAGCTGTGATTAATCTGATTAAATGTAATTTGTAATCATTTGACAGCCCAAGGATCAAACTGGTGTAATAGTTTTTATTCTTTTTTTCCAACCAAATTTAAACCCATTTATTGTTTTCTCTTCTCGGACCAAATGTTTTTTGTTTTGTTATTAAGCTGGCATAATATTTCACTAAAATATTGTTCAAAACAGGGCATTGTGAGCGGACTGAAATATTTGCAGGACTATTTTGTGGACTTGCACGGCTCTATACGTTATCATAGTACTTGCTTTTAATTGCGGGTCATCATTATTATTTAACGTCAACTTTTTGCAGTCTAAAATGCATATTAATTGTAAGGGAAACTTCTGCAGCAATGGAGAGTCAGGACTCAGATGCCCCTTTCACACCAGCGCTTTTTCAGCTCCGGCTCGGAGCTGGAGCCTGAAAAGCGCCGGTTTTTCCTGTTCACACCGCAGCGGCGCCGGCTCTTAGCTCCGGAATCCGGTTCACTTCCAGCTCCAAAAAATTGTCTCTCGCCAAAAAAAATTGTCTCTCGCGCCCCCCCCAGGGGGGGCGCGAGAGACCAGGAGGAAAAATGGTTATATATATAAAAAAAAAAAAAGATTTAAAAAAAAAAAAAAAGATTTAAAAAAAAAAAAAAAAGATTTAAAAAAAAAAAAAATAAATCATTACAAAAATTATTGATTCAAAAATAATATGATGCAGTACAGTACTATTACGTCTGGGTCTCTGTGTATCATTAAAGCTCGGCTCCGTGTGTGTGGAACGAGCCATTTTGTGTGCGCGAGAGAGAGCGCACTGGTACCGGAGATCGTTGTTGTTAGCTTCTGGTACTATCGAGCTACGCTAACGGATATAAGGAGTTTGTTCAACAACAAAGTGGAGGAGAGTCAGACTGAGAGACTCAATGAGCTAAAGGACTCTCTCAGTGTTATCTCAGTGGGTCTCAAATTGTTGGTCACCATTAATGTAAACAATTATTTCTGAGGCACACGTTTATATGACCATTATAGTTATAAAAAAACAAGAGAATAAATGAAAAACAGGTATGAAATACTATATGACAGTAAAACAAGAATAGAGTTTAAAAGGGTGATTTGTAAAATATCCATAAAGAAAAAGTAAATCTGTTTACAGTTCTGTTTCATATGGGTGTTGAGAGAGGTATCCATAGATCTCTTCATGTTGCTCTCAAAGTGCACCAGATTGATGCTTTTAACTTCAATATTTAAAAATAAATCTTCCCGGGGGAGCATGCCCCCCTATGTGAAGTCCACACACCACCTACAAAAATAGCACTTTACCCCTGCTTACACCTATATGCCGTGAGCTGATTATCGAGCCAATTGTGACAGTCGCGGGTACACTGTGTGTATGCGTGGGGATTGTTGCAGTAGAACATTCCACTGTAGCGCCCGGTACATTAATGGGAAACCCTAAATGTTTGAGCACCCTCTATGAAATGTCAAGCTACCGCACAGCAGCCCCAAAATAAATCTCTGGCGCCGCCACTGAGCCTGACTATTTGTGTTGGGGGGGCCCGACTTTTTTTTTTCTCCAAAGGGGGGGCCTGACAGAAAAAGTTTGAGAACCACTGGTCTAGAGGCAAGAGCTTCGGAGCTAAGAGGTAGCGTCGCTTACGTCTCTCTTACGTCGAGGCTGCAGGAAACTAAACCCACCTCCCCTGAACATGGGTCGACTGTCATGCCTGCCTACAAGCAGTAGTGCTTATAAACACACTTTAGAAAGTCAGGCAACACTAACCAGGCTTCGTGTGATTCTGTTTATTTGTACCTTACTTTGACCATCCGTTCACTGTTATTGATCATTGTGGAGAGAGGCAGACGTTTTGTTTTATAGCAGCTATCGGATGGAATCAATACATGGGCTGCACAGGTTGTCGTGTCCGACTATCACAAGTAGAATCATTATAAAAATACGCCGGTAAAATGTGCCTGTAGAAAACAGTTTATGCCACAATAGGATAGCAATAGCAAGTAGTCAGTTTAGCTTCGGTTGCTATGCTAACATCACCCATTTTATACCAGAGAAACTTTCATAACAGCGTTGTGATACCAAACAGCGTCAATTCAGACTGACACACATTCACTTAGGCTAAGGGGAACTGGGGATATGTATCAGCTGCTTGTGTGAGTCGGACAGTGAATACTTTAGAGCGGCCGCAGCAGTGTGAGCTAACCGGGAGCTAACGGAGGAGAATAAACTCCCGTGGAAGAGCAGCCAGCACTGCAGCGGTCGGTAAATGCTGCAGAAACACATTAATAAACAATGAACCACGGCACTCTGGAGAAAAGCATAAGATTGGAGAAGTCGTTATTCAATTTAATCTGGCTTCGTGTGATTAAAAGCAACACGATCATCGACCCGACGCAGTTGTTGTTGTTGTTGTGAGCGCCGTAATGCCGTTGGGGAGCAAATCAGCGATGTAAACGGTGACGTCATGACGCAGCAGCGGCAGCACCAGTCGGGTGCTGGGCGGTGTGAACAGAGCGGGAGCAGAAAAGGGAAACCGGAGCTGAACCAGAAAAGCTCCCGCTCGGAGTGAGAAAGGGAAAAGCGCTGGTGTGAAAGCCGCAAGAGAGACACGAGGAGAGTTGGAGCTTTGATGTCAAACAATGATAGTTTATTACAAGTCAACGGCCGGAGAATTTATATCACAAGTCACAGCAGCAAAAGGTTCTGACTGCACGGGTGGGTTGTCATGTCAATTCTGACCAGCATATCTCTCGATAGACCTTTTAACTAGTTTACAGAGAGTTAATCAGCTTTTGGGGGAGGCGTAAACATCTGTGGAGCTACAGGAGATATCCCCCAACTCTGGAGCTTAGAAGCTAGCGTTCTCACACTCTCAAAACCTCCCTATGCCCTGTAGGTCAAGCTGTAAAACCTAGTATCAACATACAATTGCATTATCACATTCCTTACGGAAGATAAGGAGCAGGGCTGATCGTAAATGTAAACACACAGTAAATGTTAAATATCTTAGGAGTAAGGAAGAATTATTATTTGACACTTACGGAGCGTCCACACAGCAGCGTGCGTTGACGCTTGGAGGTGGGCGTATCTGAAGCTTGGGGATTTTTTGCGAGCAACACGACCAACAACCAATCACCTGAATCTCCCGCCCCCGACATACAAAGCAATAGCAAAGTTAAAACGAAGTAAACTGGATATAAAATCCCCAAACAGGCGAAAACCTACCAGTTTCACCCACTGTCTCTGCCACCTCCCTCCATGCCTCGCTCCTCCGGTTTGTATCCCGGTAGATGAACAGAGACTGATCATACAGCACCGGGTGATTCACTACCGCTATAATGAATTTTCCCTCCATTTTTTGGAATATGAGGAAATTACCTGCGTACACGCGGTTTGATTGGCTAGCGATTGTACTGGCAGATTTGCATAAACGGGATTTCATTGGCTGACGCCTCCGTCGAGGCGTCAAAAGTTGAACATTGCTCAACTTTTGACGCCAGCTAAGCGAGCAACGCTCCACGTCGCTTCCCAAAATGCAGTTCGGCTAAAAGTGACGTCACCCCATTCAAAGTGAATGGGCAGAAGCGTTGGAAGCTTCAACACACGCCGCTGTGTGGACGGGCCGTTACACTGTGTGTGATTGGTGGATTTGTGTGTCAGTCAAGGACATCTCGGCCGGCCGGCAGCCATGTCGGTCTGAAATGACCAATGGACACTCTAGATATCTAAGGACCTACCCACCAATAAAAAAACATATAACAGGTGTCTCCCATCAGTTTCAGTCTTTTTTTTCAGTTTTTTTTTTTCCAGTCACACAGACCCCCCACACACACAGACCACAGACACACAGACCTCCCCAACACACACACACCCCCCACACACAGACCACAGACCCCCCACACACACAGACACACAGACCCCCCACACACACAGACCACAGAGACACACACCCCACACACACAGACCCCCCCCCCCAACACACACACACACAGACCCCACACACAGACCACAGACACACAGACCCCCCACACACCCAGACCCCCCCAACACACACACACACACACACACACACACACACACACACACACACACACACACACACACACACACACACCACACACACACACACACACACACACACACACATACACACACAAACACAGGTCAGACAGCTGGACAGAATCAGGAAATCGGTAGGATAATACATGATGGTTCTGATCTCTTGCGGGTACTACGGGACGCTTTTTATCCACGGAGCGACCTCCAGACCTGGTGGACTACATTGACTTTTTTCTTTTTGTTCAGTCCTTAGGAGGACTTTCCCCTCTATGGTGATGGAGAGAGAGATGAGTTGGAACTGGAGCTAACAAAAACTGATATATCAGTCCCCGTTTGTTGTGACAACAATCTCTCACCGGGCCAGAAAGCAGACGTTTTTTTTTGTTGCAAAGGCAGTTTTCCGATATTTGACTCCGCCCCGGGCAACACAATGCGTTCACTCCACTATCAGCTGCATGAACACAAGAGGAAAAGTGTTCAGGAAGAGCTTCAAGCCAATCAAGGAGGGAGAGGAGTGCTTAGGGACCGTCTACAAACTGCAACGGGGTTTTGCGAGATCTCGCAAAGGGGTTTTGCGAGATCTCGCAAAACATATATATATATATTTTTAATAATTTTTTTTTTCTTCTCCATGTTCCCTAGGGGGCTCCGTATTATTTGACACTTAGGAAGAGAGAAGAAATATTCTCTAACAGTCTTCTCTTTTTATCATCTTTGATAACCTGAAAACATTAGTCTAATAATAATTTGGTCAATACCTAAATCAATAGGTGTCAGATCAGATTTGAATGTGGTCTCACCTTACATCAATTACATCACAAAGTAGAATAAGACTGAAACATTCAACCACAATGATTGATACAGACAATCACAATAGAAAATCATCTCTCATCAATGTTTGGATCATCTGTTGTCAAAAGCACAATAATGAACACACATAAAACACAGACGCATAATAGCAAAAACATCTATTTCAAAATAATACGTTTTAACAATGAACCATTAGTTGATCTCACTTATCAAACTATAAAATCAAAACTAGCTTGCCGTTTAAAGATTTACTTCAAGGCAATCACTAGTCAAAAGCATTTTAAACTCAGTACCATAAGAGATCCAGCTAAGGTATACACTTCACAGTTGTGATTTGATCAATCTGTAATCTGCAAAATTGCAGTGTCTTCAATTTAGGATTACTTTACGTTTACTTCATTACATATTAAATCAAAAGACTATGTTATGATAACATAATTACATTACTTCAACTATCAATCATTATGTCATTTCAAAATCTGAAGGGAAAATTAAACAATTCTCAAAATGTTTAACAATCTGAAAAGGAAAAGTTAGGCAAATATTCAAAGACTTTTGTAAAAACCTGGAAAGGAAGGTTTAAATGTTTAAAACTTGAACCATCATTTTAGGTCTGTCTGTGCATGGGTAATACGTTGAAGAGTAGTGTTGTTAAGCCTGATTGCTGGACAATTAAGGATAGTAACATTATCTGTTATAATATTAGAAATATCTTATTGTTCAATACCTTTATAATCTGAAAATATCAATTAATTTATTTTGTTTAGTGTGAAAGTGTAATCTGATCTGACAAAATATATTTATCACCACTATTTAACACATGTCTGTTCATCGGAAATATAAAAACAATCATTAATTGTACATCTGTAAACATCTGGTCATTCAATTCAAATGTTATCTTTGTACGAGGGCTGGAAAAACATGTCCTCCTGACTCGTTCTCCTCCTCTCTTTATGACACAGAATGTCTGGTGTGTAAAGGCATCCTGATACTGTATAGATTAGCACTGAGGTGCTGATTGGCTCAAAACTCTTCTTCATCAGAGCGCCATATTTCAACCCCCCCAATTGCTCTGCTTTTGTGTGGCTCATTCAGTGAGCACTTTATGATCTCCCAGTGAAATGGAGGCTCATCTGCCTGCATTCCTTCTGCTATCTGCTTGAGAGCAGTGCAACTGCCTATTCCAAGTGGCACATCCAGATGCCCCCCCCCCGTGATGGGAGAGGTTACGAAGACATCTGCTCCTCCAGGAAACATGGAACCTTGTATTATAGAAGCCTCTGAAGCCCTCGCTCGTCCTGCAGGGTTGTCTGCTTGAGCCCACCGAGCAGAAAGATGAAGAAGCATCCCATCTCATCAGAAAGTTGAAGATTAGAATCCTCTCATCTCGAACGACCTCGTGCCTCCTTGCCCGTGGCTGGGGTGCTCTCTGCAGCCGGAGAGTGTGATCCTCTCTCTCTGACCCTTGGCCTTCAGAGCTGTCCTAGTTATTGGGTTAACACTTGATAGGGATGTTTTCCTGAGTGCAGACAACTCAAGGTAATGGATTATCACATTATCATTCAATTACAAAAATAGGATAGGCCCCTCAGAATTATTTGGGAGCCTTCCTGACACATGCACATGCATAAATGTAAGGTTTGTGTTAGTCATTTAACATGCAAGAATCATATACTCATCAGTCCAAAGCAGAGAAATGTTATTTTAAGTTAAAGGTGAGCTCGTCCCTGTGGATATAACCCCTTCTCAATGATTCTAAATGTTATATTAATTCACCATTTACCGTTTGATAAAAGATTAGTTTATCAGAAATACATTTGAAATAAATGTTCCAATATGAAATCAATTACTCAATATAATTGACTCTCCCCTCCCTTTTCTTACATATGTCACATATGTAATAACAACGTAGGAGTCTAGTTAAACATGGTATCGTCTATAAGCTATTAATCGAGAAAACTCAGTATCAGTATGCAACTCGCAAATATCTCTTCTCTCTTTCCTATCCCTTTCTTCCCTCTTCTCTCTATTCTCTCTTCCACATCTCTCTCTTCTCTCTTCCTCATCCCTCTCTCTTCCTAATCTCTCTCTCATCCTCATCTCCCTCTTTCCTCACTTCCCCATCTCTTTCTTCTCTCACTTCCCCATCTCTTTCTCTTCTCACTTCCCCAACAAAACATGGATAACTACATGATACATGAACAACCCATCTTTGTATCCTAGTTGGCTTATTGAATAACAACACCATATTTGTTTGCCATGTACATTTGATTAAATCTCATTCTGTTTTAAAACACATATATATGTATATCAAGGATCAAACTGGTGTAATAGTTTTTATTCTTTTTTTCCAACCAAATTTAAACCTATTTAAGTTTTTCTCTTCTCGGACCAAATGTTTTTTGTTTTGTTATTAAGCTGGCGTAATATTTCACTAAGATCTCGTTCAAAACAGGGCATTGTGAGCAGACTGAAATATTTGCAGGACAATTTTGTGGACTTGCACGGCTCTATACGTTATCATAGTACTGGCTTTTAATTACGGGTCATCATTATTATTTAACAGTGAGCACATGCAACTTTTTGCAGTCTAAAATGCATATTAATGACTTTTGTATTTAGTTGAAGCTTATCATTATATTATTGATGGTCATTGGAGGCAGTGTGGCCCGAGATATACAGTTAAGAGATGATGGCAACAGAAACAATAGAAGAAGTAAAAAAAAAAAGGTTGTGAGATGATCTAAGACATATGAGATTATTATGTGTTTAACTTCCTGTTTTGCAGGTGAAAGAGATGATGGACCAGGCGGGGAACAGCCACCTTCTGACTGTCCTCTCCTATAAGAACGCCGGTCACCTGATCGAACCTCCATTCATGCCATTCGCCCGAGCCAGCACCTTCAAAACGATCACTAACCCACCAACCAAGGGTAGGATATGATAATACTTGAATGGTCAGATCAAGTCTGAAATGTGACTTGCATCACAGCAGCTCCATGTGTAACATCAACAGACACATATCAAGACACAATGCATGAAAGCACAATCAGTGAGAGAAAACATGCTCAAAGACCCTTCAGCGTGCATTTGATCTGGCTCTGTATTTACTGAGAGGATCGACTGGAGCACAAAGGATGCTTCAGTCTGACTTTATTGAATTGTGGGACCCTGTATCTCCCATTAGATGGTAGCAGTTCATATGCTCTGTTCAGAACATGGTTTGTGTCTGAGATGATGTTGTTGGACAGCCTTATTAAGTTGTTATGAAAGGCTGAGTCGTAGAGTCTCTGACAGGTTTGAGCATATTTTTAACAAGTGGAGCTGTTTTGATTTTAAAGCTGTTGACTAACACTTGTACCAGGTAATATTGCAGTACTGTATTTCTCAGTTAATCAAAGTTAGGGTGCTTACATTTAGGACATTGAGTTTTGACTGCTATAGTTTGGCTTGTTGTCTTCGCAGTGATGGTTCTGTGGGGCGGAGAGCTGGTGGCACATTCTCGCGCTCAGGAAGACGCCTGGAGGAAGACGCTGGTCTTTCTGAGGGAGAATCTGTACGGCGGCATGAAACATGGTGCTTCATTTTCCAACTTGTAACCAAGACCATCCATCCATCTTATCCTACTCATAGGTGGTCGGGTCGCGGGGGTAGCAGTTCCAGCAGAGAGCCCCAAACTTCCCTTTCCCTGTAACCAAGACAACAACTAATAATCACACTAACTGGGACTTCTGGCGCCTTGGATTCAGGAAGTACCAGTCCGCTCTATTTTTTAACTCATGCTTAATCATGATGGGGGGAATTCATGTTTTTCTTACAGCAAAACACAGCTCATATATCTCAGTCACCGTGGTGGCCATAGAAACAGACTCCATGCCTGCATTTGTTTTTCATGCCAGAAAAGTGACCTTTAATTGTAATTATTATTCTTTATAATCAAGTTGATTACAGCTTACTGGTTGAATCAGTACAATGTATTAATAACTTGTGGTAATATTTAAGTTTATTTATATAGCCAGTGGGTGATTTTAGGGTGGATTCCATCACCCTTGTTCAAATAGAGTCCAAAATACAACCTCCATTATAGAGAGAGTAGGGGCAGAGGGGGACTCTAGTTTAATATATGTTAATCTACCTGACTCATTAATCCTCTCTGACATTTTAATTTACTGTTTTGCATGAACACGTCGTAAAATCCAGATAATGATTAGCCATTGTTGGAATTTCTGTATTTTCGAGAAGTTATTTTCTGTTTTGCCTCGTTCGGACCAAGAGTAAAATAAAAATATTTTCTGTTTTAAAATTCCTGTCTCCTGCATTTTGGTCCACCCTCTTGTCACGACCTTCGTCCTCCTACCCGTCCTTCAGAGCGTCTTCGCCCGTCTGGTCAGCCTTAAGCCTGTCGTCCACAGGGTCATGGTGTCCAACCATGTGAGGCATTAAAATCGGCACTGCCCCCAGGCCGTACTGCGGAGATTCCATGCAATTTTCATCCAAACTACAAAAAAACTCAAGAAAAACCTTCAATTTAGGGCCCCCAGAAGCAGCCTAATCAGAGGCTGGATCCAATTGGCCCCTTCAGACACAACGGAGCAGTGGCTCTACGTTGAGCTCCTTCTGGATGTGTGTCGTCTGCATAACAGTGAAACTGGAGGTCGTTGTAACGGAGAATCTGTCCAAGATGGTGGATGTAGATGGTGAACACAAGTGGACCGAGTACAGAGCCCTGGTGGACGCCGTTGGAAACAGAGACAGAGAGGGATTTGCAGTTTTTTATGTAGATTAATTGAATTTCTGTTCTATTTTGTCTCGTCTGGAACTAGCTTGCAATAAGGTATTTTCTGTTAACAGTTCCTGTCTCCTGCATTTGTGTCCAACCTGCGCTGCTTACTGTGACAGAGAATCCGACCAACTCATGTTTGTACAGGAACAGTTTGATCCGTTCTTCTCCCTTGTTTGCTAACGCTAAGCCCTGTCTAATAATTTCCATAACTGGGCAGATAACGTATTTTTTTACATTTCAAATGTTAACACATAACCTGGCAGCCTCTATTAATCGTTCTCACCTCCAGCCTGCCCCTCTGTCTTTCTGGCTCTGGTTTATTTTCATAAAACACCCTAACAAAGTACTGTGGTAGTAAAATCACCACACCATTCTATAATTTTCTTGTGTTAATCCACATGCTTCATTCAGTATGCGAAAGTTTAGTGTATTACAAGGATCATAATGATTGACCTCATCCCATTCTTTACAAATGGTACATTCCCTCCACCTTTGATCGAGTGATGTTGCTGTGGGAGGAGATTCAAGTTCCACAAAATATTAACCTGTTCTGGCAAAGTTTGATTAGGTAATTGCTTTGTTTGCAGATGCTTAGACGACTTCAGAACCAAGAGGAGATCAAACCAACTATCAAGAAGGCACACCTGAACACAAGCTTGAAAGGTCAGTTAGTGTTTATTTAAGTTTTAAGAAAGTGTGAAATGACACTTTTTGTGGACTTTTTAGTTGTGACTGCAGAGCTCTAGAATTTTGATTTTATTTGTAGCCGTTTGCCCCTTCTGAAAGGGGGACCACTATGCCGAACATGGAGTATTTTAAACTTAAGTACTGTGGTAGAGGAAGCATTCGGATACTATACTTAAGTTAAAGGATTTCACTGATCCACAGTGTCTTTTACACTCATACTGCACTGCATTTCAGAGGTAAATACTGTATTTTATTATAACACTAAGAAGACAACAGGCTTCTGTATGACATTGTTTTTTATTGTAATATCTGCAAATCAGAGTTAAGTCAGAAGGCAAAGCTCTCTCTAGCGATATATAAACGATCTCCTGCATCACTATGAACCATCCAGGAGTCTCAGGTCCTCTGGGTCGGGTCTGCTCTTTGTTCCAAGAATAAGAACTAAACATGGAAAAGCAGCATTTAGTTATTATGCCCCGACAATCTGGAACAAACTGCCAAATCGTGCACGTCCGCTGAAACACTTCCTATTTTCAAAACCAGACTAATAATGTATTTATGCTGTATCTATTCTTAAATGTCTTTTGTTTATTATTTTGTAAATCACTTTGAATTGTCGCGTACTGAAAGGTGCTATATAAATAAAATTGCCTTGCCTTTCCTTACCGGTCTATCCTAATTGATATTCTTACCTCTGGTCATGAACTGTTAATCATGACTAAAATAACAAGTCAATGGATATGTAGACTTTCTCTGGAGGTTGGCTGGAATCTTCCTTAGGGATAATTTCAGAAGTTCATTCATCCATGAGGGACTTTGAGTAGAGACCGCTGCTGCTTTTTCGAAGAAAGGATCCAATTGAGGTGGTTCTGGGCCAGGTGGACACCTTGGAATCCCCGTCAGAGCTGGTTAATGTGGTCAGGGAAAGGGAGGTTGTGGGCCCTCTGCTTGAACTGCTACGTCCTGGGACCCGAGGTTAGGGTTTCAGTGCTTCTCAAAGTGTGGTCCGCGGATCACTGGTGGTCCGTGAATGCCCCCTAGTGGTCCGTGAGTATATTGGTAACATTTCACATTTGAAATAAATAAATACATTTCAGTTTTCCGCACTCTCGCGGGAATATCTCCACAATGGAGCGAGGTTAAGTTTCACTTTTGATTGCATGATATAGCCCAGCGCAACACCTTCATCACACATGTTGCCACTTGTTTGTACCATTTTCAGGCGATTTGTAATCTGTTCTAGAAAAACGATGTGTTTTTTGATATTTGTGGAGTTAGGTGGTCCGCGAGTGTTTTTTTATTGGTTAAGTCCTTGGTATGAAAAAGTTTGAGAAACACTGGTTAACTTTAGATGGATAGTAGTGTTTTTAAGGTGTGTTTTTGTAATTGTATCGTCTCTTGGTATCTTCTGTCCGCTCAGATCAGGATGGACATGAAACAGCATTGCGTGAAGCTGTCGGTCCAGCCGTCCAGAGGGCTTGTGGATGAGAAGTTCACCGTCTTGGTCCAGAACCTCCTCCCTGGGTTCCAGCTGACCATCCACGCCCTCCACCAGTGTGAAGACGGACACAGCTGGGAGGCTTTTGCTCACTACACTGCCAATGCCACCAGTATTGTGAACGGTAAGACCATCAAAATTCAGGAAGATTAATTTAGAGCGATTACTAAAGTTTGTGAATGGCAGCAAAACATATTTTGTTATTAAATGATGGAGTTATATGTGAAAATAGAAAAAAGTCAATATTTTATATCCATTTCACTCCCACAGTTTCACAGGATCCCAGTCTGGGAGGGACATATTCTGGGGTTGAACCGATGGGTCTGCTGTGGAGCCTCAGACCAGTTCCTGGCAGCAAAACTGGGCTCAGGTAGGCCAACAACCATGGGGCTGTTCAGAGGACAGTACAGGAACAAATATTATTATTAGGCCTGATTCCAAAACTACCCATACACCACTGCACTCTGTGACCAACTGAGCTCCGCCTGTAATCCGATCTCAGCTGAACGAGCCTCCTTCTGTCTCTCTGGTAGAAAGAGCAGCCGTCATAACATTTCGTAACCATAGTTTTGTGTCAGCATATCGTGGATGAAAAATAATCATTATTTAAAGTAAATTAACTTCCATAAAAAGATGTAGGGGCTGGATTTAAATTAAGCCTTATGGTGCGTTCACACCGAATGACGAGATTGACCAGACTTGCGCCTTCGCGAGAGTTACATTTAGTCAACTCGAGCGTCAAATTCACGTTGGACATTCTCGCGTTAGCCAATCAGCGGTGAGGATCTCGGCCTGCCGTTACTGACGTTGAATCAGATAACCAAAACATCAGCCGTTAACTGTTAGCACACAGAGCTCACAGCTCCTCATATTTGTTCAGAAACTGGAGAAAAGTTATACATGTACAAACCACAGACTGTCTGTGTCATGGTGAATACAGTCGCTGCTTTATTTCTGTCTGTATGACATTGTTGTGAGTGTGGACGGAGCAGCTACATGTTGGATTAGTCTTATCGATCGATTTCCGAAACACATATTATAAAAGTGTTTTCGTCTGCCAACTTGTTTGAATGACGCTAGTAAACACAACTTCAAGTCTCGGGGAAACTCAAGCGATTATATTCGCATCGCTTTAATCTGGTGCGTCCGGTGTGAACGTACCATTAGAGTTACCTCGTTCCCCTCATTCTTCAAGGTTGAGGAAGATGAACGTCCAGACTCCCATGGGGGTAACAATCTCGGTGTACCAGGGTCACCAGAAGGAGGGCTTCTTGGATCAGGTGCTGCTGGCCAGTGTGGTGGTAGAGCGATGGTACATGGCTCCCGGCGTCCGTAGAGTCCCGATAACAGAGGGCAGACTCACTGCGACCCTCTTCCTGCCCTCAGGTAGGACCTGGGGAGATTCTGAAGGGAGGTGTCCTCTTAACAATGAAAATGAACCAAATTCAACATTAGTTATTTGTGACGTTTTAAATAAGTAAGTGAAAAGTGAAATACTTTTTTGTCAAATTGAATCCCAGAGAACATCGGGAAAACGCAATATAATGGATTGCAGGGCGCTCAATTTAATCAATTATTGATCTTGAATACTTTATGATATCAGCAAATATGGTATAGTTGTCTAAAATATCGATATAACAATGTATAATTATGGAGCTGTTAATTTTTTTGGTGTCTTGACTCGTTTGAAGGACCTGGTCCTTTCCCCGGACTCTTGGACCTTTGGGGGTGGGGAGGGAAGCTGGTGGAGTACCGGGCAGCGCTGCTGGCCTCCCACGGCATCGCCTCGATGGCCCTCGACTACCTCACACCTAAGGAAACTGGGAGAATGGTGGATAATGATTACTTTGAGGTAAACCTGATGAGCTTTGTTATGTGGGTTAAAAGTGTTTGCGCATCTTAGTCTGTTATCTTTGTGTTTGTTTTTCTATGTTTGTGTTACGAGAAGATGCATTAACCTTTACAGAGAACATAGTGTTCTTGTGTCAAGGTTTCCACCAGATAAACATGCGGATTGATTGGGAATAATGTTCTTTTTCGCCCCGCCGATTTCATGCTTTTTCCACAAAGGAACAGAGGTCAAAAACACAGACATCTGAATTTGAAAGGCTTTTCTAGACTCTGTACTTTAGTAAACTAAATAGGTTTTTTTTATAGACCTACTTTATAATGGGTGGGTATCGGATGGAATGTTAAGAGCTAGAGTGGAGATGAACTTTAATATCTTCTGAAAATAAATATCCGAAACCTTCTGCGAATCCCGTCATTTTGACTCTATACATTTTTGTGGATAAAAGTAGGAACATTTGTGGGGGTTTTATTGATCACATCGACACGTTTCCTGCTGCAGACGGCCTATAGAGTCCTGGAGCAGCATCCTCAGATCCTCGGCAGCAGGATCGCCATGTTGGGTCTTTCCTTCGGCGCCGGTGTCACCCTCAGAATGGCTGTTTACTCCAAAGGTCTCAAGGTAAGAGCAGCTCGGTTACTTTCATTATATTGGATGCAGCTTTAAGGGTTTATATGGTGTTTTTCAAACATAAACTCAATTTTCCCCTATTTTTATATGTAACTTACCAATTGGCACAATACAATTGAATGGTGAGATACCGAAAGGTTTACACCCCCAGTAATTAGTAATGGACGTACAAAGTAAGTGTTTGTGTTTGTGTTCTCCCAGCTCAGCTGTGCAGTGTGTATCAATGGGAGTCATGTGCAGCCGATTGACGGACCTCTGGAACAAATAATGACTTACTTTAACAAGTACGTTAATCTGCTTTCAGTTATCTCTATGACTTTCTGTACGTTACATTTTCATGACCCTATCCAATCCACTTTATTTCTATAGCACATTTTAAAAACAGAGGGTTTGCCAAAGTGCTTCACAACGAACATAACATTATAACAAAATATAATATTACAAGAATAGATAATTGGCACACATAAGAATAGATACCAGGCACACATAAAGGCTATGGACAGACAATAAAGAGTAAAAATAGGTACAGCTCAGACTGACTCGAAAGCGAGGCAAAAGAGGTGGGTCTTAAACGTGTGATGGTCTTTCTTTGGAGCCAGCCTCAGACAACGTTTTTTTCTTTTCTTTCAAATCAGAAACGTTGAGAAGACTCGCTTTGACGAGGATAACCAACTGATCTGCAGAGATCTGATGCTGCCCATCCCCACAGACCCCTCACTCAAAGTGGACGTCAGTACCAGCAGACCCCTTATGGGAGAGACAGCAAGCGCATTTTGTGGCATCTGCAGGCAGTGGCAAGTCCTTCCGGCATATGCCACAGATGCCACAACTTGCCGAGGCATCTGCCGTTGCTCAACGGGAGTTGCCACAAGATGCCAGAGTAAGAGAACGTTTACGGTAGCTGCCACTCGCCTTCCGTGGCAAATGCTGCCATTTAAACCCGTATTTATCGTATAAAATGTCGCTGTTTTGGCATGACTTTATCGAACTGATCTGTACACAGGACTGATGATCTGTACACAGGACTGATGGTCCGATCTCTATTTTTTAAAACATTATAATTTCTATTCAATTTTACTTGGAGCATGGTTTGCTAAAATAAACCAACGTGCTATATTTATGATGAAATATTGGCGAGTGAGGGATGCAACGCCCTTGGCAATTTTCGCTTCTTGAGGGGAGTTTCCACTGCTTGCTCCGATAAACCAGGTGTATGACTAGTAAAGACAAATAATTAACAAATAAATATCTGTATGGACACAGCAACGTGTACACTGGTGTTATTAGACTTGGCTACAGACTTAGGGCAGCTGTAACTGATTGCAGTTGCCACTGCTAGTGAGATGCTAAGGTTTACTTTATAAATTAGGCAAAGGACTTATATTTGCCCCATGCCTTCAGCAGCAGCAGGCCATTCAATTTGATTTGATCCAGTAATGAAATCATTTCGACAATAAAGAAATGCTACATAAACGTTATCTTGCACGTTTTATCGAACCATCTCCGTTTCTAACTTTCAATATATTTAAAAAGAGATCTCTCTCTCATCTGCGTGCGGGGGCGGGGCCTCACAGACATGCTGCTGCGCTGTGCACACAGTTCTGCCGGTAATGAATATTAGGATACATTTTGTGAGGAAACTTTTCCACCAATAATTCCAATAAGTATTCCAAAATGTATTCACTTCAGGTTTACGAAAGTAACTGTATTCGGATTAGTTGTTTTTCAAATGTAACGCGAGCTGAATACAGTTAGGCTACTTGGTTTTTGTATTCTGATTACGTAACGCCGTTACATGTATTCAGTTACAACCCAACCCTGTGCACAGATCATCAGTCCTGTGTACAGATCAGTTCGATAAAGTCATGCCTAAACAGCGACATTTTACACGATAAATACGGGTTTAAATAGCAGCATTTGCCACGGAAGGCGAGTGGCGGCTACCGTAAACGTTCTCTTACTCTGGCATCTTGTGGCAACTCCCGTTGAGCAGCGGCAGATGCCTCGGCAAATTGTGGCATATGTCGGAAGTACTTGCCACAGCTACCACAGAGTAGCGGCCTCTGTGGCATATGCCGGAAGTACTTGCCACAGCTACCACAGAGTAGCGGCCTCTGTGGCATATGCCGGAAGTACTTGCCACAGCTACCACAGAGTAGCGGCCTCTGTGGCATATGCCGGAAGTACTTGCCACAGCTACCACAGAGTAGTGGCCTCTGTGGCATATGCCGGAAGGACTTGCCACTGCCTGCAGATGCCACGATGAAACGAGCCAGGCCCTACTGCCTTATGGCGCGTTTCCACTGCAGCGGGTAGCTCGCTTTAAGCGTGCCGAGCCGTGCGGGGCCCGTTTTTGGTTGCGTTTCCACTTGGCCTAGTTTTGGCCCGGGGCTATTTTTTCACCTTTTTTCTGGCCCGACTAAATCGTGGTTCTAGGGCCAGGAACAACCAGGCTGAGTCGGGCTGAGTCGGGCTGAGTATGCTAAACTAGAGAGAGAATCGCTGGCAAGGGGACTACAACTACAACAAGATGAACATATTTGACCGTGATTTAATTGTAATACACGTTTCAAAATGATGCCGAAGTAACAACATACTGATACCGGTTAGTAAAAACCATGAATTCATGCTTTGACAAGTCTGCAGACACACGGCAGGAGAGACACCCTTTTAAAATGTGTGTTTTCTAAATGGAGCTTGGCTAAGCTAACGTTATATATGCTCCGACCGTCCACACTCACAACAACGGCCTATACAGACATAAATAAACCAGCGACTGTATTCGCCATGACACAGGCAGTCTGTGGTTTGTACTTGTTTAACTTTTGTCTAGTTTCTGAACAGATATGAAGAGCTGTGAGCTCTGAGTGCTAAGAGCTAACGGCTGTGTTGTTTTTTGGGGCGCTCATTGAAAATGACGTCACGGCTCCGCCTACACTGCGTTACTATAGTAACTACCCCAGTTCCTAAACTGTAATGGAAGCGCAGCATTAAAGTGAGCCGGGCCTAATACGGCCTAACCAAACCGAGCGAGGCCGAGCGAGGCCGAGCGAGGCCGAGCGAGGCCGAGCGGGCCTGCAGTGGAAACGCGCCATTAGACACTTTTTTCTTTTAGGTCTTTTTTGCTTGTTTTTTTTGTCTCAAAAGCCCTTTTTTTAAACCGTTTTTTTTCTTTTAAGATAGAACAAAATTAACTATGAAAGTTGTTAGTTTGCTATTCTCTAACACTTTTCTGTCAGTTTCTTGTAGTTAAGAGTTTGCATTATGTATTATCACAGTTGTTTTAAACTTCACAGCTAGGAAATTAATTTATATTATTTTGTTCTCCGATAAATGTGTAGCTCTGAGTAAAGTCTCAAACATCCAAAGATAAATGCTGAGCAGGCGATGATACAACCTGCTGCTGTTTGTCTCTGAGCAGGTGGGACGACTGCAGTGTCCTCTGCTGCTCGTCGTCGGTGAGGACGATCAGAACTGGCCCACCTACGAGTCTGCAATGGACGTGAGCGAATTTACAAGATTACATTTGGTGTGAATAGAAAGCTTGGCCTGGAGGTCTGGGTTGAGGTCGACAGTAAATATAACTTACGTTCTGTGGAGAGAACAATGGCTTTGAAGCTGAACTGATAGCAAAACTTTCTCCATTTGAGGCTTTCTGTCCACAACGTAACAGCGCCATCACTTCCTGATTTCACAAACTAGGGAGCCGGCCAAGGTTTACAGAACATGGGAGCATTAACGAAGTTGCGTTAGTAATGGTTTAACTTCTATTCAAATGAAGTAAGGATCAACATTTCGAACATGTTTCCCATGTTTTAAACAGGTTTGGACTTTAAGGTGTTAGAAACAGTGTTTTTTGCACGTTGTTGGCATATACAGTATGTTTTGTGTTATGCTGTTGAGCCTCATGTATTGTTGACATTTATGTTTAGTGTTTCTTTTTGTCTTTGTTCTGTTATAACGCCTTGTGCGGAATGCTTTGGCAATACTATGTTTACAATGTGGTCATGGCAATAAAGCTCCTTTGTATTGTATTGTTTAAAATGCCACTATCGTGACATTTGTAGGTCTTAAAACCTAGCAGATCATCGTGGTAGCCTGAGGCAGTGTTGCCAGGGAGTTACAGTTCAGACAGAAGAGTATAAGATATACATATTTACAAAACATATCCAAAGAATGAAGATGATCTGAGAAATATAAAACCATGTGTTTTACTTCCTGTTTTGCAGATGAGAGAGATGATGGAGCGAGCGGGGAACAGCCACCTGCTGACTGTCCTGTCCTATAAGAATGCCGGTCACCTGATCCAACCTCCGTTCACGCCATTTACCCGAGCCAGCACCTTCAAATCTGTCACTATTCCACCTTTTACGAGTATGTTCCCTTCAGACCAGGAGGATGTTTCTCTCAAAGTTAAGCTAACAAGTCCGGACTTTGAGTTTTGACTGCTATAATTTGGCTTGTTGTCTTTGCAGTGATGGCTCTGTGGGGCGGAGAGCTGGTGGCACATTCTCGCACTCAGGAAGACGCCTGGAGGAAGACGCTGGTCTTTCTGAGGGAGAATCTGTACGGCGACATGAAACCTGGTGCTTTATTTTCCAACCTGTAACCAAGACAACAATTTAATATTGTAGAGACTTCTGGCACCTTTGGTTCAGGAAGTAAAAGTTATCTTTACCATGCATAATCATAATCACTTTGGCTGCAAATGTGATGGACATGAAATATTCAAGGTTGAATTAGTACAAAAGTAATTTGGTTAAAGTTTTAAATGTATATTGCACTCATCAAACAAGAGATAATAAAATGCCTTACAAGGAGAGAAAGAAAAAGCACCATATAAACAGTTTGGAATCTTGTTTTGTTATTTTGATGTTTACCTGAATAATTGATCCTCTCTGAAATATCAGCACCTAACCGTATCTATGTAATGAGTCCTGAGAACCTTTTGTATTGTCTGGAACTAGCTGCAATAAGGCATTTTCTGTTAAAAGCTCCTGCTTCAAGTGATAGAAGAATCAGAACAACTCATCGACCCAGCAAGGATTGGTTTCAAGAGGAACTTTTTGATCCCTCCTATTCCCTTGTTTGTTGTTTGAAAGACTGAAGTAGCTCCCAGGGCAGGAAGCTAACGCTGAGCCCTGGTTAATCACTTCATTACCTGGGTGGATAAAGGACTCTTTAACACTCCAGATTGTAACTCAAAGCCTGGTAGCCTCCTGCCTGCTAGCACTCGGCTAAACTCCAGCCTACCACCTAGTCATTCTGGCTTGGGTCCCCCCCCCAACAAAGATTACAATTGATACTTGGTCCTTCCATATTTTGATTAAATTAAAACTCATCCCATTCTTAACAAATGGTACATCCCCTCCACATTTGACTGAGTGAGGTTGCTGTGGGAGGAGATTAAAGTTCCACAACATATTAAGCTGGACTTCTGATAGTTTACTCTAAGAAAACAACTTGTTCTTGGAAAGTTTGACTAAGGTCATAACAGTGTTTGCAGGCGCTTAGACGACTTCAAAACCAAGAGGAGATCAAACCAACTGTCAAGAAGGCAAACCTGAACACAAGCTTGAAAGGTCAGAAAGTGATTATTTCAGTTTCATTATTTTAAAAGTGTGAAACTTTTTTTTGTGGACTTTTTAACAGTATTTACAGGTGACTACAGAGCTCTAGGATATTGATTTCATTTGTAGCCGTTTGCCCCTTCAGTACAAGCAAATTCTCTGTCTGTACACGACTGGCTCTTCTGTGGTTGTTTTGAAGGGGGACAACAATGCCAAACATGGAGTTTGGGGGAACTGACTGTCCTGTCCTATAAGAATGCCGGTCACCTGATCCAACCTCCATTTTTTACACCGTTTGTCAGAGCCAGCACCTTCAAATCTGTCACTATTCCACCTTTTACGAGTATGTTCCCTTCAGACCTGGAAGATGTTTCTCTCAAAGTTAAGCTAACAAGTCCGGACTTTGAGTTTTGACTGCTATAGTTTGGCTTGTTGTCTTTGCAGTGATGGCTCTGTGGGGCGGAGAGCTGGTGGCACATTCTCGCGCTCAGGAAGACGCCTGGAGGAAGACGCTGGTCTTTCTGAGGGAGAATCTGTACGGCGACATGAAACCTGGTGCTTTATTTTCCAACCTGTAACCAAGACAACAATTTAATATTGTAGAGACTTCTGGCACCTTTGGTTCAGGAAGTAAAAGTTATCTTTTCCATGCTTAAAAACTCTAGCCAGCTTTGATGGACGTGAGGTGGTCATGTTTGAATCAGTAAAGTAATATACCTAAAGTATTAAATGTACCACTTGTCAAACCAGAAATAACAAGGTGCCTTTCAGGTAAAACACTCACTTGCATGATGGGGGTGGTGAATACTGAATAAAATATTTTTCCTGGCCAGAAAAGAGACCTTCTATGTTATCATGTTGACTACAGCTTGAAACGTTGAATCGGTGCAAACAATACCTGGTATTAATATTACAGTTTATATAGCCAGTAGGTGATTTGAGGGTGGCCAAAATGCATGATCTCTCTCTCCATTATTACGAGAGCAGGGGTAGAAATGTTAGATCGTCGTTCCTCTCTTAAATATTAGCACCTAACTTATCTGCAGAGTAAATGTTGCAGGAATGAGTCCTAAACCCCAAATGATGATTATTACTGTTGGATTCGTGTATGTCGTGTATTGGGAAGTTCTGTTCTACTTTGTCTCGTCTGAACTTAGTTTTGAAATGAAATGTCTTCCTTATTTGTTGTGATGGAAAGTGGAAGAGTAACCCCAAGCCTGATAGCCTCCACTCTGCTTGCAATCAGTCTCAACTCCAGTTTATCAATGACTCAATCTGGCTCGGGGTGTTTGAGACTTCTGTCCAGAGTCTGCTCCAAGAACAAAAGAGTAACTGCAAGTGAATAAACACATGCATGTTAAGAAGAGACAGTACACATTATTAACATAAGATTCAAAGATCGAAAGGCTTTATTGTCATGTGCACCCTAGCTACAGTGTAGTTATGGCAATGAAGAGTCCCGGCTCCTCCAACAGTGTGAAACAAAGAGATATATAAGACATACAACAAATTAAAAAAACAATAGAAATAGTGCAAGACGAATCAGAGTGATGCAGAGAATTGTATAGGTGACAAAGAAAACGCAGGAGTCTTTATGTAAATAGAATAAGATAGAACAGAATGCAACATTACATATTGTACAGTGAAATCAAATACTTTTTGTGAGACGCAAACAGATGGATACACAGGAAATATTGGTGAGTATTTTTTCCAGAGTAATTACTATTTTGCTCTGAAATAGTGATATTTAATCATTTTGGAGTATTTATTACTCATAGCTTCTAGAGTGCGATGAAAAATGCAGAGTCAATTATATTGGAGTCAAACCATGACCACGCTGTAACGGAGGTGATCTCTGGGGCCGTAGATCTCGGTCTCTTATATAGCTTCATTATATTCATTTTATTATGGATACTATAGGTTATCAAGGCTCTTACAGAGCTCAGGAGTTTCTCATCTCCAGGGTTAGACACAAAGGCTAATTATCTTGATTAATCTGTAGTCTATGTCACGTTGATTGGATGTAAAGAAAACATGAGCCCAGAAAAACACACGAGCATGAGCATTGTGTGTGCGTGTGTGTGTGTGTGTGTGTGTGTGTGTGTGTGTGTGATAGCTGTGTGTAGTAGCTGTGTTTCTCCGCGAGGGGGCGTCCTTCCTCCATCTCTGCCTCCACCTCTGACAGTCTGTGTGATGAAGCTTATTAACTTCATCTGTAACTGCACGATTTGCAAACGCGCGCTTCTTCCTCGGACGCGTTTTCCACTCCGTCAGGATGAGCATCACTCTGCCCCCCAATACTCAGACCTGTGACCGGGGAACTTGATGACACCCTCAGACCCCCCCTCAGTTTGGACTCAGCGGGTGTGATGAGCCTCCCGTGATTCCTGTGACGCAGGACCACCGCGCCGCACCGCAACGCGCACTTTGGAGAACTGCGAGAAGCGGTAAAAAAAGAAGAGATGCGCCTGCGTTACTTCGCTCTACTGTACGCACTCGTGTAAGGATTCCTTCACGGTGGGGACAACGCTGATCTGATTGCGACCAGAGTGAGGAGAGTAACCCGGGCTCCGGAGCGTCATCCCCGGCTGGAATCGAACCGACGCCTGCAGGTGATGCGGAGGAGCGGCAACAAAACCTGCTGTTTTAAAGGAATGTACCGCCTCTGCCAGGATTAGGATCCGAAAGCAACTGTGATCCACAACTGAGTGAACAGAAAAAGTGGATTAAATATATTCATGTTTTTTTTCCTTCTGGTTGATGGATGCGGAGGAATTTAGAGGATGTGTGATATGACACACAGCTGGAGACAGAACATATCTTTCTGACCTGTGACACCGAGAAGAAACACCTGCTCCTGGAGAGAAGAGGTACCTGAACACATCACCATTTATGTATTAATGACTAATGAAAACTGACTGCACGTTATTTAAATAGTATGTATGTGTTTATTCTTGGTCTCTTGGGATTGGATCATGTGGGAAATAAGATCTCTCACTTTGGCATCTTTCAGATTATGGTTTTATAAATACACCAGTGTAATCAATCAATCAATCAATCAATCAATCAATCAATCAATCAATAATATATCCATCAGCACCCATCAGTCAATACGGAGGCTCTCAGCCTGCTGGGTGTTGGTGTGTCTTTCATCAAGTTTCACATCAGATTCATTATTTCTGATATCAGCTGTTAGTGCGCACTTATGAGGGTGGATCTGTGTCCGTGTGCGCGCAGGTGTGTGTGTGTGCGCAGGCGTGTGTGTGTGCGTATGTCTTTCGTGTGTGAAAATGGCTCGAAAATGGGGTGTGTTTGCGAGAGCCACAAATTGCAACTCCTCTGGGGTGTGTGTGTGTGTGTGTGTGTGTGTGTGTGTGTGTGTGTGTGTGTGTGTGTGTGTGTGTGTGTGTGTGTGTGTGTGTGTGTGTGTGTGCGTGCGTGCGTGTGCGCAGAGTGGTGGAATGGTGGACTATAGTACATTTACTCAAGTACCATATTTTGGTTCCACATTAAGAAAGTAAAACCTGGATGGAAATACTCAGGATAGTTTAATATTCCATAATAATCAAAAATATGAAAATGTACATTCTGCTTACTTTGACTTCATAATGAAATACAATATTCAGATGATAATACTGCTGTACTTCTACTTACTGTAAGTAACGTTTCAAATACATGAAATGTACTTGTACTGGAATATTTTAGGCTAAGGCATTTCTACTTTTACTTAAGTAAAGGATCGTAGTACTTCTTCCACCTGTTTGTGTGTGTGTTCCATACTTATAAGTATTATAAATGCATATATTTGTTAGTGACAACAACAGGATAGTGTAATATTCCATTGTATGATCAAACTGTAAAAAGAGCCATTCTGCTCACTGAGTACTTATACTATGATACTTTAGGTACATTATTCATATAATAATACTTCGGTGAGTCTACATTTGAATACAGGAATTTGACTTGAAATTGAATATTTTCAAATATAGTATTTCTACTTTTACTTGAGTAAAGCCTCTTAGTACTTATTCCTCCTGTGTGTGTGTGTGTGTGTGTGTGTGTGTGTGTGTGTGTGTGTGTGTGTATGTGTGTGTGTGTGTGTGTGTGTGTGTTTGTGTGTGTGTGTGTGTGTGAGAGAGATTTAAGATACCAGAAAGAGACATGAGAATACAAACGATCAGAAGAAAGAAACTCATAATGTTACAATCTATTTAAATTCACTATGTGGCCAAAAGTACGTGGACACCTTCATCATGTGAAAGTCCAACATGTCATCCTTCAAACACAGATCTGTTGATGTTTGTTTTGGATCCATTTAGAAACAGAGGTCAGGGAGACGGAGGGCTCAACCAAACATCAGACTTTGAAAACGTTTCCAACACCAATGCTGTTTCATAACCTTGTAGCCTGTAACCTATTAGTGATGGGTGGATGATAACATCACTCCAAAGCTGGTTTTACTCTTGTCAAGTACATTATTTCACTTCCAGGTTAAGAATACTACTTGCTGCAAAGTGGTTCCAAATTCAATACTGTGCGTAACTGTCATTTTCTCCAATGAAGGTTAAAAAATGCAACAAAAAACATTTTATATATCTTAAAATTATACTCATCGATTACAAGGTTTTGAGACTCGGTGTTAAGAAAAGTTGACTTGTTGTAAAAATGGGAAACACACAGCTGTCCAATTAATACAATACAATGCAACAGATGACGTCCAGATGTGTAAATATCACGTCATGTACTTCATTACGTTTTGCTGCTAAACTAAAATGTGCTCAAGTGATGCCCACGTTGATAGAAATCAAATGAACAACTAAATAACAACCATGTGAGACTGCAGTATTTAGGCACAGTGAGGCTTGGAGCTAAAAGCTAATATGCTCATATTGATATAGCTGATGTTTAGCAGCTATGATGTTCACCATGTTCGTTAAGACTGTTGGCATCCAGCTGTTTAGCAATAAGCCCAAACTACAGGTAAGAGTTGTACAGATATTTGTTCTTAAACAAATTGAGCAAATCTGACCAGATGGTGGCGCTAGGAAAAAAAATTCACACTCACCGGTGTGAGAATCCTCTGGGAACCATGAACGTCTGAACTCAATGCGGTGACTATCCATGAAGAACATATTGAAATACTTCACAGGATAAGGGGAACTTTGACCTGCTGGTGGCGCTAGAGGAAAAGTCAGGGAATCACCAAAGTCAGACTCATCCTCGGGGAGTCTTGCATCTGTGGTCCAAATATCGTGGTGATTTATTGAAATGTTGTTGAGATATTTTAATCTGGACCCAAGTGTTGGACCAAGCTGGCTAATCACTCAAAACATGACGAAGAACACTAAATTACATTATTATAAGCGAGAGAACATCTCCATGTAATATCAATTAATATGTCATGAAATTCACTATTTATTATGTCAATGTTATCCATTTAAGTGAAAACCAATGAGCTGAGTGTGAGAAATGGGCCCTTAACAACACTTTTAATGTAATACTTTCAAATATTCTACGTCGATAATGTCTTGTTTTACGGCAGATCATTTAAACATGGGTCAAAAAAAAACTAACAAACTAACATTAAAACACCAAAAGCATTTACACCTGTCACCAATGATCAACATTTGGGGTGCAAAACAATCAGATTAACTCCAGGTGGTGGACCCCTCCTCATCGCAGACAGTTGGGTTGTTCCACTTCCTGTTTGTAGAGTACAAGAGGCCATTTTAATCACCGTGGCTGCATCCCACTTCGGTTAAATGCAATCCTTGCGTCCCTCACGAGAAGTGCGAAGCAGCCCGTGTGTGTGGAGGACTTAAACATGGAGCTAGTAGTTGCAGACAGGTAAACCAAACTGTGGCGTAACATGTGTTTGGGGGCAGTTGAAACAAACAATGTACAACATGTGACTTAGTAAGAATACCTCCAAAAAAAGTAGCCAAAGTTTGGTAGAAAAAAAACGAATATCTTAAAGAGGACACATCATGTTTATTGTCAAATCAATCTTGGGTGATTTAGAAGGTGTTTATATGCTTTAATGTTAAAAATCACATTGTTTTTTTCATTTTGTTTGTCTGAAATGCTCTGTTTTAGCAATGTATTGTTAACTGTGATGGTTATTCTCGCATCCAGGAAAGAGAAGCTTAAAAAGGAGATTAAATGGAGTCTCTGAGATGTTTTCAAATTGGTACTTTAATTAGTAAAAAGCGCGGTAAAGTCACAAACAGGATATTGTCCGACAGAAAAGCAGCTGCCTCTGGCTCTCGCTAGCAGAGGGAAAAGAGGCCGAACCGCTCAGGTGCTGCTGTTATATAGCTTCTGCAGGCTCCTCCCTGCGGGCCGGCCCTCCACATCTTAATGTCCGTTGTTACGTTAAACGGAGGATTCAGGCATTGTACATTCAATATATAGTTAAACACGCCTCTTCTCCTCATATTGTATAAAACAGCATTTAAACTGAAGGTACATTTAAGGTACATTATGCCATCAAAACATTGATTTTAATTTCTAACAGTATCCATCATTCTGAAAAAGCCCAGTCTGCTATGACTGTCTTGTGAGATCCATTTCAAAGCTACATCTCAAGCTGTGGGTGGAGAACACTCAGATTTTGGGATGGGAATCTTGTAATGAGGCTGCATTTACCATCTGAATGGCTTGTTCAATCCCAAGAGGCAGAACACAACAACTGGGTTTGTTTCAAAGTATGTGGTTTGCAGTTAGTTAAAGTGCACAAGCATTGAAAAGGCGAGTCTTTTGCAAGTGAAAATAACCTTACAGTAAACATGTGATACGTTACATGCATTCAATGATTGTTGTACTATATCTGGGAGAGTAACGTGTCTTTTTAGCTCATAAATGTTATAGGCCTACATGAACTCTCTCCAAATCTAGACGTGTTAGTAAGATATGTTTGTCAAGTCCTTCAGGGTTTTGGCCACGACGCTGAAGTTGGCTTCCGATTCAGAGCATCCGATTCGGCAGTAAAGGGGAAAGTTAAGGGACATTTAATTTACAGCGCTGAGCGAACAATCCTCCGTCATTGAACCTCTTAAATCGCTGCATAGCCGATTTATTTGGACTGGATTATCCCAGAGAGTCTAAAGATTCTTTATAACACAGTTTGAGATTTGTGAAACCTTTATTCTATTTGTGAAAATACAAACACAGGTGGAAGGCTGAGGATGCTGCAGCAGGCCAGGATCAGGATCAGAAAGTGAACCTCCCAGCTGGGCAAGCCTTTATGCCTTCTTGAGGCTCCGCCTCTAGATGGGCGGGCACAAACAGGACGACACTCCCAGTACCTGCCAGAGGACAGCAAGGCAGGGAGCACAGACAGGCAGAAGGGGGAGGGGTCGTCACAACATGTTCTTTTGTTTTGTTTTATTGTTCTGTCTTTTTATTTATTTAAGTATTCCAGTAATGTATGTTGCATGTTTTAATTTGATTGTATTTACTTGTTTAAATGAGATTTGTTTTAGGTTCACTTATAAAATCTGTCCAGGGACAACAGATGAAAAATAGCCTCTTGGCTAACTCTGGCACATTGACAGGAATGTTAATTCATGTGCACTGTCCCTGTTAAACAAATGAATGAATAAATAAAAATAAGTGTATGCTCCTCATCTAGGTGATCATTCTTTATCTACAAAGTGTTCGTATCTTAAATACTGTTTCATAGCAAACAACAAAATGAAAGATGTTAAAGGAATTCAGGTTCATGAGATAAAGAAAAAGGCTAAGCTTCAGTCTTTCATCCACTTTGAACAGCTTCTGCTGCTTTGTCCTAAAGCTAAATAGCAATTATTTTTTACCAAAGTGTTATTTTCTAATCTTGTAATGTTTTTCACATTCCAAGCAATCCTAGTACTCAAGATGACATACTGTAATTAGGCAAAGCTTGTTGCTTAAAGTAAACTTGAACAATGCTAGTTATAGACTATATTTAATTTCCTGTTGAATTGTTTTGCCTGCAACTGTAAATAAATTAAGTTTATATCAGTATACCTACTTATCTGTTGAATTTTTATTTGCAAAAAACAATAATACATTTGAGAAGTAAATAATTTATTCTTCCTTAATTAGCTGTCCATACTTACCCGATTTGATGAGTGTAGGTAAAGTGGTTTCAGATCAGGACCTGGTCTAATGTGGTCTACATGTAAAGAAAAAGCACTGAAATCTCCCTTGTTTGTATTTTCACAAATAGAATAAAGGTTTCACAAATCTCAAACTGGGTTATAAAGAATCTTTAGACTCTCTGGGATAATCCAGTCCAAATAAATCGGCTATGCAGCGATTTAAGAGGTTCAAACACGGAGGATTGTTCGCTAAGCGCTGTAAATTAAATGTCCCTTAACTTTCCCCTTAACTGCCGAATCGGATGCTCTGAATCGGAAGCCAACTTCAGCGTCGTGTTTTGGCCTGTATCAGTGATTTAGCCTGACTTGAGAGGCTTGAGGGCAACAGAGGACTCTTGGACAACTCGAATTTTGTTCTTTTTGTCTTTATTTATTTAAGACAGCTCCAATAATTCATCAGGTTGAAAACCTTCAAAACACAACGTACAAACACGTTAGCTCACATGCTACACAAATTACAAACATTGTGCAGGCCTCACTGCATTCTCAATAATAACACAAACCATATTTTAATTAAAAGGATAACTTGTTATTTTAAAACCACATCATTAACTTAAATGAATAAATAAGAGTGTTTATCTCCACTTGGAGACAAGCACCAGAGAAAACCTCTTCTGAACACCTGCGCTGTCTAAACGACACAGCAAACAAACGGAGCACAGGCAGACCGCGCTGCGTAACAAGCAGATCAACAGCACTCTCGCAAAGTGAGGCAACAGATCAAGTACATCAACACCGGAGAAACATACCAACGGCGTCTCCGGAGCCACACACGCGCACACACACACACACACACACACACACACACACACACACACACACACACACACACACACACACACCACACACACACACACACACACACACACACACACACACACACACACACACACACACACACACACACACACACACACACACACACACACACACACACACACACACACACACACACACACACACACACACACACACACACACACACACACACACACACACACACACACACACACACACACACACACACACACACACACACACACACACACACACACACACACACACACAGTCGCCTGGTTCTCCCTCCGTGGCTTTGAGAACAAGAGACCGGCCATCACAAACTACGCCCCTTATGTTGCCGTGTTACCGGAAGCAGCATTCATATTTTTTCAATACAGCTCACTTATGAAAGGTAGCCTTGGTCCAAAATAAAACGAATACCCTCTCTTGGTATTGAACAATACTATACTAATAATAATAATAATACTCTAAACGAAAACACATTATTTCTCAGTCCGTTTTTCACAGATATTATTACATATTGACTTTCGTCTCGACAATGTTAATTGATTTTTGTGTAGTGTCTGGTCATATGTTCTCAAGGTTTGAAAAGCTTATCGGATGTCCCATTTTACAAATCTCCTTTATGATTGTATTTGTATTTTTAAACAGTATATGAGTAAAATGAATCGACTTAATCATGAATATAGCCGACGCTGCTCGCCGCCTGAGCTCAGATCTATCTGGTTAATTGATCTCTAATTGATTGTTTCCTTCTCTGTCTGAACCTCCAACAGCTTTCAGGAAGAATGTGAAACTGGAGCTGCTGCGACCTCGATCCTCCGCCTCCTCCTATGCAGACAGCTATGTCAAACTCAGGAACCGTTACCGCAGGAAACCCCCGGGGCCAGTGTTCTTAGGAGGGACCGCCCGCCGTGGTTGACCCTGCCCTGGGTGACGGGGGACTCCATGGTCAGGCTCGCCCTCGCAACACCACCTGCACCACAGCCACCTTCCTGTTGATTCGGCAATCATACCACCACTACTTCCTCTTCCTGAATCTTGAATCACTGGAAAATGGCGAAGGGTTTGAAGCCCCCGAGTGTCCCGAGCGTCTTCTCTCTGGTGATACTTAAAAGCTGCTGGTTGCTTTGCTCCACCACCTCCCAGAAGCCCGGTGTGTTGGCGGACTCCCAGCTTCCCCAGCAAGAGTTTGCCCACTCCATCCGGCTGGACGGGGACATCATCCTGGGCGGATTGTTCCCCGTTCACTCCCGTGGCGATAGAGGCGTCCCCTGTGGCGAACTAAAGAAGGAGAAGGGTATCCACCGTCTGGAGGCCATGCTTTTCGCCATCGACCTCATCAACAAAGACCCGGACATATTGCCCAATGTGACTCTCGGGGCGCGCATCCTGGACACCTGTTCGCGGGACACTTACGCCCTGGAGCAGTCGCTCACCTTCGTCCAGGCGCTCATCGAGAGGGATGGTTCTGACGTCCGATGTGCTAACGGAGAACCGCCCATCTTCGCCAAGCCGGATAAAGTGGTGGGCGTCATCGGGGCGTCGGCCAGCTCGGTGTCCATCATGGTGGCCAACATCCTGCGGCTGTTCAAGGTAAGGGAACGCTTCCTTGGGATGTTTGAATTGGTGTCCCTGGTGATGTTCTGAGGCTTATTGAGTGGGAACTTTGGTCTACACCTGAACAGAGAGAAAGAGATGCAAAAATACTTTGTGGTACTGTCTATATTTCATTGATTTATCTACTGTTGGTGAGCCAGATGAGACAGAAAAGTCTGCTTTATGGTTGTGACATAGACTTGGCTGTGATTCAGCTGACTAGATTTTGGCATCTGCCTTTGTCGTGGTCGTGAGGTTTATTGGAAAATACCATATTTTGACATGATTTTGTTTGTAATTCAACTCTTCCAGTTAGTTTTGGCATTTATCTGGGGGACACAATCCCTTCATTTGTTAAGGCACGGACTTTTATTCTGAAATATTTGCAGAACATTGTTGTGGAAAATGCAGTGACTCCATTACATAATATCACCGGCCTTGAAAGTTGATTATAATTGTTATTTACAAATTGGCACGCACCTTTTAAACCTGGACACAGTCAGTGTAGCCCAGTGTAAAGGTTTTTAACAAATCTGCTGCAAACTGACCAGTTAAGGAAAGTTGAGCCTGTGTGAAGTTAAAGGACACAATTATTGTAGAAATGGTCACAAAGAAGGTTTGGTTTTTAAGTTATTCAGGTAGAGAGACTCTGGACAAGGTGAGGCTTCAGTGTTAACACCCCTCACTCTGGGATTGTAATTAATGTACTTCAAAAACTATTGCAACACTTGCGCACCAACGTCTTCGAGTTCATGACAGCTCCTTGCATGAGATGTGTTGAGATCAATCAGCAGCTTTAACCCTGAAAAGACAAACGGGTGTTTTATCTGTGTGAGCGAACCAATGCTTGTTTCAACAGTCTGAAAAAATCTTGTGTTGAGTAGATTCAAACAGAAGTGAGGTTAACAGGTTTCTTTTGAAGGAGCCGCTGACAACATAAGTGGATACAACCTGCTATCTGCGGTCAATCGGAAAAAAGCGGTGTGACCTTCTTCCCGGTCGCTAGTGCCTCAGGAAAGAGTGTTTGAATTACAGTGTTCATTTATGTGTCAGGTAAAGATTGGTGCAGTTTCTCTTCAGTATCATGGTCACAATGATATCTGAGTCCCGGTACTTAAATGCAATCCTATATGACCTTATTGTGTTGAGTTTGAAGTCTCCCTCCGGACAAGAGTACACTTTTTTCTTACTGTGACTTTACTTGGTTGTTTGAGCTTCACTTTACAGAGTTTGTTTTCACACTCAACTTAAGTTTTGTGTATGAAAGTTAAGGCCCCGCCCCCTACACACCAATCTGACACCAAAGAACACGTCCCGACGGACCCGACTGTTGCGTCGCCTCACGTCTCTGCGTCTTGGCCAACAGTCGCACTGGAACACACCGCAAAGACTTCAGCCGACGGCCAAGAAGCATGTACGCACTGCGCATGCGTGAGTGGCAATAACTCTCCTTACCAGCAGGCGGCGGTAGTGTATATTCAAAAGAGGCAACAACCGGAAGACAGACTGCGTGATAACCGAGAGAAGAAGAACAGACTGCGTGATATAAACAAATAGTGTGTGCGTTCCATTTTCACTCTACAGCGAGAAGCTCATGGGGCTTTCCCGAACCTGAGTCGAGAGCTGGAGTTAAAGGAAATCTCACATTTGCCTTAATAATAGTTTGGGTCCGTCACTTCCGTTTCGCTTCTCATGCACTGCTTCACTAAGCTGAACAGCCAATCAGAGTGATTTATTTAGACGACGGCCTTTTTCCGACTGAATCGGCGGCGGAAGGTGTCGGCACGGCCGAAAAGACACGACGGGCAGGACACACCAATCTGAGTAGGGCGAAAGGACGCTCATCGACGGCCAGACATCTATCGACGGCCGAAATCGGCTTGCTGTGTAAGAACCGTAAGACAAGTGTGATGGGGAAAGTACGGAAGTGGATTGGGGCCAAAAGCCCACATTTATTTTTTGAGTTATACTGTATGAAACAATTCTGCAATTATTCAGAACAAAATGGTTGTAGATAGTTGTTTTGTTCTCAGTATTCTGCATTTTTCTTCTTCTCAGTGCTCCGAAAAATTAAATTCATGATGGATAAAAAAATAAAAATAAAAATCACATGTGGCCCTAATCCTCCTCCGTAGCAAAGCTTTTAGGACACTTGAACTGATCATAATTCAGATTTTGTGGTTTGGATTTAATCATATTTTCTTAAGGATCTTCCCTGTTTTCTGATCAGTTTCTTTTCTTTTTCACTTTGATGCAAACTCAAACATTTCCTCCATCGTCTTGAGGAATTCAGTATAATGACACAATCCCATCGCTTTCCATCAGCACTAAAAGAGTCATCAATCTACTGATCTGTTTTTTTTTTCAAACCGCATACAATCAGTCAATGATAAAGTAGAGGAAAATATAACGTTCCAGAAACATTGCACCGTCGTTTTCTACATCCTTGAATTTTTGTTATGGTTTTAGTCAAGAGTCCTTTGTGGGTTGAGAGAGAGACCTGACTGGAAGCCTTTCAATACAAAAGATATTGCTCAATGTTGGAGTGAAAACGTGTTCAGTCTCCAGCTCTTCATCAGCACCGAGAACGTTTTTCAGATAGATGTTTCTCGTTGACATAAAAGAAGTCGATCCCAGTTGTTGCCGCCTCTTTTTTTCTGGCAGACTCACAAACTGTGTATGGAGGCGGTGTGTTGCTGTGCGCGGCAGAAAACAAACTCCACGGCGTTAAATTAGTGATGAGCGCTGTGATTCATGTGTATGTGTTGGAGCCTGGCCCGCGTAATGAGGACAGAAAAGGCCCAACAACATCGCTTATCTAAAATTAGCTGGAGATGCCTCAGGGAAGGGGGGGGGGGGGGAGTTGCAGGAAGAAAAGGGGGGGTAACAAGATTTTGCTGATGCAGATGTTTCCTCACAGAGCTGTCACAACCTCCAGCTGCAGCCACGACTCTGATGGGTATCAGGCACTCACAGCAGGAGGTGGGTTATGGTCCGTAGAAAAATCTGGGTTAAGGGAACATATTACAAAGGTTACTAAGTGAAACTCTTTACATAAGAGCATTCTAATTCAATGAAATCCTTCTAGATGCAACATTTGCAAACTCAAGTGGGACGAATACAGAGATAACAGGAACATTTTGGCAGGTCACGCAGCACAACTTATATTATAGCCGTGCAAACGAAGCCTACAAACACGATTTCAGCTTAAGTGTTAAGTGATTGTTTTTAGAAATGTTTCTGGACTTCATTTTACAATGACACTACTCTGTTTAAAGAGTCCTCTCCTGCTGATGTTCAGGTGTATATCAGTATGTAGTGTCTCTACTTTAAAGAGTCCTCTCCTGCTGATGTTCAGGTGTATATCAGTATGTAATGTCTCTACTTTAAAGAGTCCTCTCCTGCTGATGTTCAGGTGTATATCAGTATGTAGTGTCTCTACTTTAAAGAGTCCTCTCCTGCTGATGTTCAGGTGTATATCAGTATGTAATGTCTCTACTTTAAAGAGTCCTCTCCTGCTGATGTTCAGATGTATATCAGTATGTAGTGTCTCTACTTTAAAGAGTCCTCTCCTGCTGATGTTCAGGTGTATATCAGTATGTAGTGTCTCTACTTTAAAGAGTCCTCTCCTGCTGATGTTCAGGTGGATATCAGTATGTAGTGTCTCTACTTTAAAGAGTCCTCTCCTGCTGATGTTCAGGTGTATATCAGTATGTAGTGTCTCTACTTTAAACAGTCCTCTCCTGCTGATGTTCAGATGTATATCAGTATGTAGTGTCTCTACTTTAAAGAGTCCTCTCCTGCTGATGTTCAGGTGTATATCAGTATGTAGTGTCTCTACTTTAAAGAGTCCTCTCCTGCTGATGTTCAGGTGTATATCAGTATGTGGTGTCTCTACTTTAAAGAGTCCTCTCCTGCTGATGTTCAGGTGTATATCAGTATGTAATGTCTCTACTTTAAAGAGTCCTCTCCTGCTGATGTTCAGGTGTATATCAGTATGTAGTGTCTCTACTTTAAAGAGTGCTCTCCTGCTGATGTTCAGGTGTATATCAGTATGTAGTGTCTCTACCTTAAAGAGTCCTCTCCAGCTGATGTTTAGGTGTATATCAGTATGTAGTGTCTCTACTTTAAAGAGTCCTCTCCTGCTGATGTTCAGGTGTATATCAGTATGTAGTGTCTCTACTTTAAAGAGTCCCTCTCCTGCTGATGTTCAGGTGTATATCAGTATGTAGTGTCTCTACTTTAAAAAGTCCTCTCCTGCTGATGTTCAGGTGTATATCAGTATGTAGTGTCTCTACTTTAAAGAGTCCTCTCCTGCTGATGGTCAGGTGTATATCAGTATGTAGTGTCTCTACTTTAAAGAGTCCTCTCCTGCTGATGTTCAGGTGTATATCAGTATGTAGTGTATCTACTTTAAAGAGTCCTCTCCTGCTGATGTTCAGGTGTATATCAGTATGTAGTGTCTCTACTTTAAAGAGTCCTCTCCTGCTGATGTTCAGGTGTATATCAGTATGTAGTGTCTCTACTTTAAAGAGTGCTCTCCTGCTGATGTTCAGGTGTATATCAGTATGTAGTGTCTCTACCTTAAAGAGTCCTCTCCAGCTGATGTTTAGGTGTATATCAGTATGTAGTGTCTCTACTTTAAAGAGTCCTCTCCTGCTGATGTTCAGGTGTATATCAGTATGTAGTGTCTCTACTTTAAAGAGTCCTCTCCTGCTGATGTTCAGGTGTATATCAGTATGTAGTGTCTCTACTTTAAAAAGTCCTCTCCTGCTGATGTTCAGGTGTATATCAGTATGTAGTGTCTCTACTTTAAAGAGTCCTCTCCTGCTGATGTTCAGGTGTATATCAGTATGTAGTGTCTCTACTTTAAAGAGTCCTCTCCTGCTGATGTTCAGGTGTATATCAGTATGTAGTGTATCTACTTTAAAGAGTCCTCTCCTGCTGATGTTCAGGTGTATATCAGTATGTAGTGTCTCTACTTTAAAGAGTCCTCT